AAATGGTGCCCCCCTCGGCCGAATGGGCCTGGAGGGGCGAGGCGATCGGCTGCGTGGAGACCACGCCGCCCGGCGGCGCCGCAGAAATGGCCGGCAGCGGCCGATCGTCCCCGTCGCCGCCGAGGTGCTGGCGGGAAGTCGCCTCCTCGGCCATGGCGATGGGGTGGCCGAAAAATGGCCGGGATTCGGCGACGCCGTCGATCGAAGGGAGGCGGCGCGGCCCAGCAACGGAGGGGGAGGGGCCGCACCGCGAGGGAGGGGTGGGGCTGAAAAAGGTCGCCGGGTTCGCGGGAACCCGGCTCCGAAACCAGATGTTGCGCGGCAGCGCGCAACAGGGGGTGAGAGAAGCCTGCCAGTACGGGCGCTCGAAGGCCATTAAGCCGGGACCCAGCACCGGACCCCAAGTACTACGTACTTGGGGCCACACCCGAGCGCCGGTACCTGGGGGTACCCCAGGTACCGGTGGCCACCGCCCTAGTTCCGGTATAGCAACTCTAACCCCTACACTATCGTAACCGTAGCCCTCTTTGGCCGGTTACCGTAGGGGGTTGTCGATACCCCCGGGTACCGGTTAGTGCGGTACATCAATGCTTCAACAACCATCGCTTGTTAAGCCCCATGCATATCCCTCCACCATCCATATGGCTCTCCAGTATGAGAAGGCCAATTCCAGTACACTGAGTTTATTATAACCTTTCATGGCATTACACACAACCCGGTTAGTGAGTTCCACTACTTTTACAATTCCAGGGTTAGTCACCAGTCTGTTCTAATGTACCACGATTAAGTGAATAACGGTATGTTTAACAAGGCCAATTGCACTTAATTGATACACCAAGGGGGGGGGGGGTGTCATTTAAATGGCATCACATAGACCTCGCAAAACCCTACGACACCCCCAAACAGGGAAATTGACAAAAGAGGGTCATTTGCAGGGTTGCATTTAACAAAAGGGTGTCCTTTGCGGGGTCACCCCTAGTAGGACTGGCTTGCCGAACGACGCCGGTCTAGGACCGATATGGCAACACATCTAATGTATTGGGGACAATGAGAGGACCCCCTTCTGTCAAATGCACGCCCGCAAAGGACCCCCTTTTGTCACAGAGGACCTCCTTTTGTCTCAGAGGACTTCCTTTTGTCAAGAGATCTCCTAGAGGACCCCCTTTTGTCATTTCCCTTTTCTAATTTACTTTTCGCCCCATTTTGTGGCCATTTTTGTTAGGACTTTTCTAAAAGTAATCGCTTAAACTCATTGCAGCTCAACACCTCTTCAGGGCGTTGGGTAGAATGGCGGGGCCTGCCAACTCGATTCTGTCCCCGCTCCCGCCCCGCTTGCACTCTCCTTCCTGCCTCCGACCACCTCATTGCCCACCGCTGAAAGATCGTCACCGGGCGTCTCCGCGGGATGGCCACCCCTTGGATCTCCGTGGTGCGCGTCCTCTTCAAGTGTGAGGCAGTGCATCCGTCGCAAAAGCGCGGGAATCGGCGCAATAGTCGGTTTGGGTGTTTTTGGCGAACTCAGGTCGACGGACAGCGATCAAAGGGTATTTTGCTTCTCGGGGGTCTGCAAGGACCTCACGGTGGTTTGGTGGGTTGGGCAAATTGCCGTGCTTAGAACGCCCCAAGCAGCTTTCCCTCAGGCGCTCAGTTTTGGGACACGTCTCCGTTGGTCCTTTCCGCGCAACTTGATAGACACATACGCGCGGCTGTTCGAAATGCGCTCGGGACCAGGGCCTGGCCGCCCCTCCCCTCGCAACGATCTGTGTCAAAATCGCGGCATTGCGCCACTGCCACTGTTGCGCTTGCAAGCTTCTTGCCGAAACACTTGCGATTGCGTGGCCGTCGCCAAACGAACAGCTCTGCAGGGGAGACAATGCCACGAAATGTGCCAGGTTTCTGCTCGGTGGCGTTTCGTCTGACGTTTCATACTGATCAGTTGGATTGGGGTATGCTCACTGCCATGGACACCACTCCTGGAATCAGAGGTACAAACTTTCTGCGGAGACAGTGACAGTGCTTCAGAAGGAATGTCGGTGCTCAGGGGCTTGACATTTTGGTCGTGTGCTCTTTGGTTGAAAGTGTAGCGAAATCAGGTGATGTCTTAAGGCTGGGTTTAGGGTGCACAACCTGTCAAGACTGGCATGCAACTTCTGCAAAGAGCTTTCAGAATTCAACAAGACAAAGTTGGATGCCCCATAGTTTGCAACGACTGTTGATGCCATCGGCAGCAGCATTCGCTGACGAAAATTACGTCCCTCCTGCAGCCAGGCTGTGGATGATGTCTCATGAAGTGCAGCAGATTGAGTGGGGCAGTTGGGACACCTGGAGTCTTTTGCCGCTGGGGCGTTTTGCATTGAAGAAACGCACTGTCGGCGGCTGGAAACATGTGTTGTGCTTTTGTTGATATGTGTTCATCACCTGTCAGTGCCTGCAACCTTCAAATGCCCCACTTTGGGCCCCATTTCCTCTTTGAGGGCAAACAATATCTTTGGAACTCAATCACCATATGCATGGATTGGTTGGCTGCATGAAAAATGGTTGAGAGCTGTAAAACAGCACTTCTGTGTGGGATAGAATCAGTGAATGCCTGCGTGGACATACACAGGTCGACGAAAGTAACATACTGATATACACAGTGTAACACGTCTCTGGGAAATGACAATCTTATACCCAATGTGTCGAAAATAGTGGCTGTGTCATGTGTCACTGCTGAACAGTGACACTTTGGCAGCATGCAGATTCTGTTGACCATGTTTATGATTGTTTTGTGTCATTTCTTCATGTTTACAGCATCATTCATAATAAGAGATTATGTTGTGTCCAATATATCCTGTCGACGTTTTAACCATGTACAGCAAGTTGGATGTGCCTGACATGTCATGTCGTGCAGCGCAGTTTTGATTACCATGAGTCATCCTAAATATAGCCTTGCCATGTAGGATGGTGCATGGACTGTCAAAGAGATACCATGCCGATAGGCCGTGCATTCTGATTCGATCGACGCATGGATTAGCTGGCAATTCTGTTATTGCTGGATCACCAACCCACGTCATCAGTTGGGTCATCAGCCTGGCGGTGAAAACTAATCCTGATGAATTTGCGCCAATGGATCATAGTCGATGTTGGTGCCACCATGCCGAAGGATGCAGGGAACATGTTTGGACTCTGGGCGCGGCCTAAAAGTCGCAGGCAGCCCCAAGGTGGCTTAGTCAATAGTTGAGATGTGGAACAGGAGTGGGAAAACCGCGACCAAACAAGAATAGAGGGGATGTCGGGGAATCGAACCCCGGACCTCTCGCACCCAAAGCGAGAATCATACCACTAGACCAACATCCCATGCGAAACCCCATAATCACTTTTCAATATATCAAATTTTAAATCACACAGTGGTGCCCCGTTCAGCGGCCAAGCGCCAATGGACTTCGAATTGCCACCATTTTGTTGCCCCGTCAGTCACCATTGCGTGCCATTTAACGGACCTATAATCGTCATTATAGTCACCATTAAATTGCCATTCAGCCCCACCAAGCCTCACAAAAGGGGTGTTATAACTAGAGCTGATTGAGTACTATTGACAACTGAATGCATGGATGGAGAGATGACGAAGCACTAGGAACTGCATTGAGGACGTTGACGAATTGACTGAATGTAAAGGACAGAACGCCTGTTGTCCTTTTGCCTCGGCTGTAAACCGTTGCCGTGGACTCGAGTGTACGATTCCCGTTTGGGGATCGCCACCCATCGATTCTGTCTGCCTTTGTCAGAGGCAACCCCCCATCACGAGGCAAATGCGTGTCAAATGCGCACGCCCCCACCGTTAAATTTGACACGGCGACCGAATCAACCTGGTGGTCAGGTCCCCCGCTCGGACGAGGACGAGGACTGCAGGCCCCGGGCCACCACCACCCAACCGCCCCAGCCCCGTGCATTCCCGCGGCATCGGACCCCTCGGTCGACGCACGGTCAGCGGCGGCACATGGGACCTGGGTGCCGATCGGCCGCCGCGGAGCGGCCGCGCCGGCGAAGCCGTTGTCGTTCGCGATTCGAGATCATGAACTGGACGGGCGGGAGGCGATTGTGCTGCCGGTGAGTGGGGTTGGGCTGGGGGAATGGCTCGACTGGGGCATGCGCTCAACAGCGAGATATATCTGTATATCTACGTAGTGCACGTGCGAGCTGCTTTCAGGAGTGATGAGTCTGCAATCCACTTGTTCCGCCTGGGTGACACGGGTAAGAATTGGTACACTCCAGAATAAAAGTAGGTCATGGAAAAGGCGCCCCTTCCTAATCAAGTGTATGTGACATGCTTGTACACGTGGTAAAAACATGATGTGGAGTCTCCCAGTGCGAAGTGATGAGCACACATAAGGAACACAAAAGCAAAGAACATGTGCACTCAAGGGGTCCGTATGAAAGGGTACGAATGTTCGGATTGTCGAGCGCAATGTAATGCCTTCAAGGATCTGCGCACTGCACCCATCACCCAACCGCACCAGGGGCTCACACAAGCTCCCCTATATCATTTAATCCTTTGATTACATATGTCACATGGACATGGAAAAACACTGCCCTTCCACCTTAGAAGCCATGTTGGCCCCTGGATCCATGCTTTTCTTGTTTTTTGCTGGCTTCCGTCGCTGTGTGACGTGCAGTGTGCATACTGCTCTGTGCTTCGTGTGCTCTCCCCTTGCACTCGGAGACATATACGCCAGCTTTTGCAGCCTGGCAAAGCTTCTCTGGATATTTTTCTGCTCAGGAGATGCCAGCTGAATGGCATGTGTTTCCTTAAGAGGTGGAGCAGAAGCAGTTGTTGCAACGAATCTTCCACTTGTTTTACCTGCAGGTGCTTTAGCCAGGAGCCCTGAGAGCTGCAAATGTATTTTGTCAAGTGAGGATCTGGGAAGCGAGCTGAAGGAGGCCCACTCAGAGCTGCAGGATGTCGAGTCAAAAGGCATGGGTGGGGTGTGACATCATCCACAGTAAGTGGGACCAATCAGTTGATGGAGCGTTGGAAAATGTGTCGTTACAGTTATCAAGAAACGATGGGACACATCTCCAGCACCCTGCTTTTGTGCTACTGTGATGTTGGTTCATTGGATTCCAGAACATTGCAGCCACTGAAAGTTCTGCAGTGCTCCCTTTCTGGATCCTCTGGCAGGGCCGCGATTAGCCAGCTGTTCATCCCAAGCACGTACTTCAGAATTATATGGCCACAGATTCATATTTTGGAGGGCTGGTTTGGGCTGGTGGAAATGGCAGTGAACAGGATGTTGTTGGGGAAGGTCAATTTTCAATTCCTTCTATTTGTGACATATGCAGTTGAGAAAAGAAGGGCCTGCTGTGTTGTGATAATTTGGCAATTGCAATAGAAGCCAGCCTATGCTGGGATAAGGGGAGAAATATCCCAGGAAAGAGCGTGTTGTTGATAAATGACTTGCATGATTAATTCTGCACGGCATTCCAGCCCCCTTTCCTTCCTGTAATGTGTGCACCAAAACTTGTCCGCAGAACCTGTCGGCCTATTGCTTTCACAGAATGTGTTCGTCAACTTGCCCAAAACAGTTGAGCTGAATTGAAGTTTCCATGTACAGTGTGTCAGCCAACATGGGCTAGGTCGCCACCTAGCTCCAAGGAACACATGTCCATTGTTTGTCCCCGTGTACGCCAGTACGTGCGAACTGCCATTTGCCCCTACATTGAGGCATTTTGATAGTTTGTTTGGACACTCCCCTGCATCTCACCCACAGCCTGCCCACTCCCCTCACCACACCCCAATGTGAACCCTTGACATCCTGAGGTCCAAACCCCCCACACAGTGTGCAACACCCCACAAAAAACATTGCAGGTGTCAGCGAAAAGAAGCATCACATCAAGATCAATCGACAGAAAGTCCAGCTCCTTCCGTCGCTCGATCCACCACACTCCCAAACAAGGTAAGAAACGCCTACTGTCCCTATCGCATAATCCATTGGAGGTCCCCTCTATGTACTAGCGGTACACTCTGTAAGAAAGCCATCCTTAGATCTACACACTCAAACACAATGTGCTCCTTGGTAAAAAGCTCCCCACAAAGGGGACACTCCACAAGGGGCTCCTCATGGCTGTGTATCCTCATGCTGCTGAATGGCAATGGCCCATTATTATGCACGCCAGCAACGTCGCCTTAGCTTGGGGTGTGCGGTCCTCCAGCGTCCACTCTGTACCCATGCGAGGAAGCACCTCTCAAAGAAGCGCCCCCTTGTTGCTGTGCATCCACACTCTCTACCATAACTCTAGAGTGCCATCCCGCACTTGGGTCCAGACATGTTCACAAGAATGCGTGGAAGGCAACGATAGAGGTTTGCTGATTAGTCCAGGTTTTGTATTGACAGTTGGTGCCACCAAGCCTGTAAGTACTGCCTGGCAACGTGAGGAGGACTAGTGGTGTCCACAAGATTGAGTGCATGGTGATAGAGGTGGCCGTAGATCAATAGAACTTTCCACTGGCAGTCCTTGCCAGGACATTTGAAATGTGCTGCCCATTATTCTGATTGAGTACAGTTAATATGGTACTGCAGCAATATTGCAACATAATTCTTGTCACACAAGTTGGGGATGGGCCAGTGCTTGGAGAGGTGCCTATTGCAAAAGTGCGTGTATCACTGACAGAATGGTTGTTGATTGAATCAAATGCTGCAGGAGCTGGTGTGTGCTCACAACTATCAAAAACTTTTTCTGAGGCGTATCTATATTTGTCCATCAGATGGGAGGAGTACTGACTGTGGTAGCCAAACCAGGAACACATTGTGCACTATATTGTTGTAGCACCATGCTTGATACAGCAGACGCCTGCCGTGCTTGGTGTTTTGCATTATTCGACCTGTTTGCTGGCAGTGCATTGCAAAAGGGGAAAACCAGGCATGAGTTCTTATGGGATTGTGAGCGCATGCACTGGCGATGACGATCTTCTGATAATTGCTAATCTCATCTGATTGCTGAATGGCAGCATACTGAGGAACTGCTTGGCTAGTGATCTGATGCCTGTTTAAACAAAACCACAGGGTAGCATTTTCCTTCGCACTGCAGTTGTCCACTACCTACCATACCATACCATTATCTACCATATTCCATCATATGATGCTCATGTCATATCCAGACCATTTCTGTGTTACATTACTATCGTGTCATGCATTATGCAATAGTTAGAATAAGCGCACAGTGGCTGATGGGGCTCGATTTTGAAGAAAAAGTATTGAGCACTCTTGTGCTCAAGTACTGGAGTATCGGTATTGAGTATGACTTCCTGAACAAAATAGTGACGTGTAATTGTGGTCAAAGTAGGTCGTTGTAGTTAACAATTGCAGTGCTGAAGAATAGTGTGCATTAGTCTTGTAGAATGGCATTTGCTGTGCATCGAATTTGTGATTGCAACCATAACCCGGTGCAGTTGTTCATTAGGGGAGGGGGAGCCATCGGCGAGGGGGGCCTCCGGCCACTGCTGCTGGACCAAGGGACGCAAGACACAACTCAAGCGGCCAAACACAAACTGGCCTAGTGAGCCTTAAGGACTATTTGGCCCCGAAGGATCCATGCCAGGGCCAAGAGTCTGTCCAGTGGCTTGGGGTGCCTGCCATCGAGGATGCCACTGGCAGCACATCCCAGCAGTGGGCCAGCACAGGGTCGGGTAGTCAACATTGGCTGTGCTTGTGGATGGCATAACTAATGTCATCAACGAATCATGTGGCGGGGGTGTTGGGAGCTGCACGGCTGGGCGGTTTTTTGGCCTCTAGAGCCCACAGCGCATGTCTGTGCATTGTGCTGTGGTGTGGGGCATGGAATTGTGATGCCATCAACCCACTGGGTTGGAAACACACCCTTCAGTTTCAATGGACCTTGACTTTCGTCAAAACCAATTTGACTTCTGTGTCGTGTGGAAGAACTTGCACCTCCCCTCCCTTTCCTCCTGTCCCCCCAAAGTGTCAGTGTCATCATGACACTGTCATGCTTTTGGTTCCAGCTCTGGGATTGAGGTTGTGAAAGCAGTATTTGGGACATGCTGTGGAGTGGATACTTGCCCATCATTGCTCTGAAAGTGTAAGGGCAGGCATTGATTTCAACCAGATTGCCTATTGAAATTAGATTAGATTGTCAAATGTCCTATTTTATTCAATCCCACATGGGCTTCGTCAGTGCTTTTCAAGCATCTTAATCTTGAACTTTGGAGAGAATTGCAGCCCAGCAGCCAACGAGGCGGTGGGGCTGTGATGCAACCATCTGTGAGCCAATCCATCCAGTGATATTGAAGCGCATTTTCAGGCCACTGTACCAAAGTCCAGGTACTCAGCAATACTGGTCCAGCTCTCAGCAGCACTGGGCTAGTGCTTTAGAGCCGTTCTTCGTAGTGGTCGTCGATCACAACGGTGGGGTGCAAGCATCCCCAGTAATTTGCCGCTCCGGCCCCAACTGCCACGTCGCACTCCCCAAGGAACTATGAAATAATGTTACTACCTGCACCAAATCACGTGCACACTATGTTCTAACCTCAATTTTAGGGTTAGGGTAGGTATATGAGTAGGTTTGGGTTTAGTTTGTAAGGTTTAGGGTGTACGTTAGGTTAGTTTTGGAGGGAATTGGTGCAAGCAATCACCGATTTGGTGCAGCCAGTAATTGTATGCCAGGAACTACCGTGTTGCCCGGAAAGCGCCCACATGCAGACAGGGTTTGAACCGTGGTGATTGGCCAACATTCTTTTTGATTGTACCGCAACAGATTGTACTGCTTGTAGTCATGCTTCATCCCACCGGGGTGACCGCCATGAAAGGCCAACCCCTGCGCCAAATCGTTTATCACCTGTGCCAACCCGTTGGAACACCTGCACCAATCCACGGACGCCGCGATCCCCACCCCCTCCCCCCTCACACTCTTCGGGGTGAAACTCCGACGAAAAATCATGATGATGATGAAACTCCGACGGGTGAATTCACTGATTTGGTGCAAATTCATCGATCTGGGGCAACCACCCCTTATCCGGTGCAGGATTCACCAATACGCCGCTGCCGAGGGGGCGCTCATTTCGAGGCCATCACGCCGGGATCCATCTGCCGGCCCAAAGAGACAGTTACTCCCCCCCCAGTACTGCTCCCAGGTACTGGCCTGTCCACCGGATCCGGCACAAACCCGGTCACGCGACGCCGGTTCCGGTCACGTGATACCGGACCCGGAGCATGTGACACCGGCCCCAGTCACGTGACACGTTGGCCTGGGGCCGGTTTTCTCCCCGTCTCCACGCTCCCGCCCGAGTCCTCCTCGGCCCTCGCCCCGCGAAACCTGCACCGGACGCGTGACGCCCGCGCAGCGCCCAGCGTGACGCCGGCGGCGAAACGCCCTCCCGGCGGCATCGCGATCCGAGGAGGGAATCCGGATCGAGGAATCGAATTCCGGAGAACGGTCGAGTTTTGTTCTCGGCTGGGGGGATGGGGAGGCCCCGGGGCGGCGGGCGGGATGGGCGGGGGCCGCCGATTGGAGATGAGGAAGGCGGGCGGAAGGCACCGAGGGAGGCGGAATTCGAGTGCGCGATCTGCTTCGACCTGTTGCTGGACCCAGTCGTAGGTGGGTGGATTGGGGCGGGCCGGCGGGGGTGGGTGGGGTGGGTGGGGGGTATGGGTGGGCGGCGGCTGGCGTTTTAAACTTTTTTGAAAATAGCATCTTTGAAGATGGGCCAGCGCGTGTTTTTGCGATTGGAATCGGGAGAATGGGTTGAAGCTTTGGGAGGAGGGGGGTAGGGGGGTGGGGAATGAGGGTGAGATGAAAACGCGAGAGGAGCAGGGCGCAGGGGAGGATGAGGCGAAGGCTGGAGCCGCATTGGGGAGGAGAAGGGGGGAGAGGGCACGGTTGGTGGTGTTGACGGGGATCTAAGGAGGGGCGGGGCGTCCCGATCGCCGGCTTCGATGTGGTGGGCGCGATTGCGGAGTGCCGGGGGAAGAAACGCCGACGAGGGCGGCCGGTGGCGTCCGCCGCTCGCTCTGACCCTCGTTGACGGGGTCCGATCTCCGCCACCGGCCTTCGCGATTGGGCGCGCGATCCGCGCGGGGCGTAGGCTGGAAGTCGTTTTGGCGCGCGTCCCCATGTCATGGGCACGGGTTTTGTCGGGTGCCAAGGCTTTGGGCATCGGACCGGGAGGCCCTCCGTGATTCGGGGAGGGACTCCGGGGACCTCCGATCGCATGGCGGGCGTCTGGCGCCGGCGCTTGGGCGCGGATCGCGCTCTTGAGGCGACGATTGTGGGCTCGAAGTGTCGAGCGGCGCGTGGGTTCTCGCGGCTTCCGCGGTCTCGGGTCCGCGGAGAGAACGGGCCCCGGCGGCGCAGAGCGTTCACCAAACTCTGACCTCGCTGACCCAGCGTTGAGCGGGCGGGCGCGCCGCCCGATCGATTCTGCCCCCCTGTTCCGGTATCGCGCCGATGAAGCGGAGGGCGGTGTGTCGAGCGGCGAGTGTGGGTGGTTGGGGGGTGGGTTGATGTCGCCCGAGTGTGGATAGGATTGGTGAAAAAGCACAATGAGTTTGTGCAAGATTTGTGGAAGACACAGAGAAACAAGTAACGCAAGGGGCACCCCCTGCTGAGCAAGTGTGCCTGGCATCATCTTGCTTGGAGCAATGAACACCAGAAGTGCCTCCCCCCTTGGCAGAATTCCGTGGATTGGACTGATCCTTATCGTCAGTAGCAAATGAAATGCAATGAGCCTAGCAGACAGACCTTTCAAGCGCTGTTGGCTTAGTTCCTAATGTCTTCTTCCTGCACACGAAAAGCTGTACAATGTGAGAAAGATGGGCACCTGAGGAAAGCAGCCCGACATTCTAATCCAGTGGTAAAGAGTCCACACCCCTTCCGTTGGGTTGGGTGGTGCCTGGACACTTCAATGTGATGTGTTGTGTTGGAATTGTAGAGAAAATAGACCAGGACACCTTGTTGGCTGAGCTTGAAATTTTTCCGCAACCTGAACCTCATCACCTGAGAGCAGCCATGTTTGCCCACCCAAAGTGCAGGTGGTGTCGCACTTGTCTGGACTTGGTTCAGATCTCATGGCAGCATCAGTTTTCCTATCCATCTGAAAGGATCATATAATGGTTGGTCAAAGAAGCACCAGCCCCACGTTGGAAGTCCACCCAACACGCACAACTTTCAACTCTGAACTGATGGTGGGCTGGTGGTGTCCATCAGGATTGTGGGCAGTTGTGTGGGTGACATCCTGTCGGACACAGCTGCAAATCGCCCTTTCCCCCTGCTGCTAGTTTTGCTGCCAGCAGCCAAGTCCTTTGCGTTGATTCTGCACTCAAAAGACAATTTGGGGCCCTTGTGCAGTGTATTTCAACTCTGGCAGTGTAGAATTGCCAACAAGTTTATGCCACACTCCAGGCCAATCACTGCAAAGTGTCTGCTGGCTGATTGATTCCATACAGTTTTTGATGCAGTGAGCCACAACTGAACAGGTCAGAAGGCATATCCCTGGTGCCACTTGCGCCATTGTTGTTCCGGAGTGGCAAAATCATTGAAATGGAAATCGAAGGAAATCAACTGATATGTTGAATTGGAATGGATTCTGTGTTGATTATCAACTGGAGTAACTGAAAACGTGGGAAGGAGAAATTTTGCACAAACTGGGCACCCCTTCCTGAGCCGTAGTTGTGGTGATTCTCTGTTTGTGTCCAACTACCAAGTACCAGTGGTACTTCAGCACTGTGTAGGGCCAGTCTTGCTGCTGGCAACTCTTGGTTGTGCCCACATTCCCCGCTTCAATCGCTGCAGCTGCTGAAGTTTGTGAACCCAAGCTCAGCAGAAGACATTTTCTCCTTGTTGGAGCTTTTGCACTCGTATGAGTGTTTGATTGGTTTGTGAATCAATGAAAGTATGAATGTGGTGTACTCAGTGGACACACAATGCATGTGGGGCTGCCATGTGCCTTGCCATTAGTATAGAAACACCACTATGCAAATATACCAATACTCAATCATTGATGTTTGTGAGTTTGAGTGTTAGTGTTAGGTTTAGATTTAAGGTTTGATGTTAGGATTTGGTGCTAGGGTTAGGATTAGTTGTTTGTGATTATTATCAATAGCAGTGCTGGTATTTGGTTTACGGGTTTCCTTGAACTCTATGCACAGTTTCAGCACAGAAAGGATTGCCAATCAGTTCTTTCCAAAATGAATTTGCAGGGATAACCGGGAATCTGGCAGCGAACAAACTCAATTTGACCGAACTGAATTGATGCAGAAAGCAAGCGAATTGCCTTGACCATTTGGAACGTTTGATTGGGCGCTGCCTGTGCCAGACACATGCAGCGAAGATTGGCAAGAGTTTAGGACTGTGCTGTATGGCCTTTTGTCAGCAAGAACTGTTTCGATTGTATGAATTCAAATATCAATTATGTTGTTACTTGGATGACTGAGGAAACGATGAATAGCAGGGACGTGCGGCCACGACTTGTGCAAGAACTGCTACGAGAAGTGGACTCGGATCAGCTGCAAGTGGACGTGCCCAACCTGCCGGAAGCCCATACCACCAGACCTTGGTAGGCCAGTGGAGGAATACTAGCTTTTGCACGTTCTTATGGCCTTATTTTTACAGTCCAGTTTTCGACTGCACAGCAGAGGATTCTATTTCTGTGTGTGTGTTTTTGCGTCATGCAAATGGGCTGCAGCCAAAAAAGAGATAACACAAATAGTTCAGAAGTGAGTGCATATCTATCAGACCTCTGTTGTGCTGCACTGCACTGCATTGCAATGTTGGGAAAAGTGGTGCAAGCAAGTACTATACAGTACTGAACCTGATACCATTTTCTCCCAGAAGAAGCTCCCAGAAGCGCACTGGTCGGACCAGTGTGAGAGCTGGAAAATGCTCTGGATATCACCCTGTGCTGGCAGGTTTCCATAAGCACCATACCAATCTCACTAATTGATCAATTCATCAATCATTTAACAATTATCAATCGATATCAAGGATCAATCAATTATACATTATTAATCAAGTATTAATTATTGTTAATCAGTAAGCAATCAAGTGTTAGTTAGTAATAAAGTATCAGTCAATTAATGAATTGGCAAATGAAGTATTTTATTGGAAGTTTTTGATGGTGCTGCTTCACAGGTGTCTGTGTACGGCTGAAGAACACGATCGAGGCGCTGTTCCCGGCACGTGTCCGGGAGCGCCAGCGGCAGCGCGATGCCGAGGTGGCGGAGGAATGTGCCAAGAAGCCAAGGATGACGACATCATTCCGGTCAGATGACGCTTCAGGGAACCTGCACGCCCATGTGCCGCTGTCTTATGAGGAGGCGTACGAGGGGGCTTCTGGGCTGCTGGGCGCAGGGGAGGGCAGGCATGTTCACGTGCAGTCAGGTGTGGGCAAGCACTGCTGCGTTTTACGCCAGTAGTTTACGACATGATGGTGTCCTGCTCGAATGTACTGCACTGCCGAGTGCTGTCGGGGCTTTTGCTGATGATAGTCCTTCGTGCCTCGATTGGCAGTCAGTCGTGCTGTGTGGCATCATGGACAGTGGACTGGTGAAAGGATTGTTTGCAGTAGTGCTGTATGGCGTGACTCATCGGTTGTTGATATACTTAAGCTAATTCTATCTTGAAAATGTGTCACAAGAAAGAACCACATTGTCCTGAAATGTGACATTCAAATTGTGGGCCATATTCAGAATCTGGGACATGCATCTGTGTGTTATATCTGTGTGGAAGGCATGCCCACATGTGCACAAACATGCAAAAGTGCCATTTATTTGTTGCCTTGTTCGATCAGCATCATTCGCATCAAGTGACACCAATCACATGAACCATACAACAGTGTCTGATGCTGTTGTAAGCGTACAAGGCCAGATAAGCATATAATGGAGATGAATCAAGTCAGTAACAGTCACATCGCACAAAATCAGGTTCACTCCTCGCAAGTGAACAATTGGCACAAATACACAGTTGCGAACCGTGTAAGAATCGTGTGAAACCATGTACACTCAGTCAATCATTTACTACAGGGTTTGGTCCCATTTTATGCGGTAAATACACGATGATTGCACGATTTAACACGATTTTTAAACGATGTTCGGTCGCGTCATGCGGTACGCGATTTGCAATCGTGTTACACAGTACACTGTTTTCAACAGTGTATTTTGGCCTTTCGTTAACTAGTGCCTAATAGGCACTGCCTATTGCTTGGTGTGACGCTCATTCAATTCGCCATTCTGCTGCTCTGTCTGTGCCCTGCAGTCGACGAGCTTGCCCACGTTGCAATCCTCCTGGACCACCTTAACGACGCCGGCCACCGTCACTACTCAGGTGCCCCCCTAGTGCCCATCCACCTCGCCAGGCCACCCACGCCGCACCCCTCATCCCATGCCCATGCCGAGGAGAGGGCGCGTCGGGCGCGGTCAACCACCGCGCATGCAGGCATGCATCAGCCCGGGCGGATCGAGATGCACGAGGTCAATCCCGACTCGCATGAGGTGCACGAGGTCAGCGCATCGCCGATCGTGAGGGAGGAAGTGCATGGGGTCAATGCTCCTTTATATCATCAAAGGGAGGCGCACGAGCGGGGCAGGCAAGGTGCAGATCGGGCGGCAGCCCACAGGCGGGGTGATCCGCGCCAGATGACGTCATCGATCGACAGGCCACATCGGCAGACGTCATGGATCGATGCATCGCACCCTCGTGGGGATAGGCGGCGCGGCATCGGCGTGGCAGCAGTGCCTGCAGCAGCTGCCGTGCTCTCGGTGCCGACGGCCATCGCGGTTCCCTCATGGTTGGGCAGCACATTAACCCCGTTGACCACATTGACTTCGTCAAACCCCGTTAACTACCGTCCCGTGGGCCAGGCATCCCAATCGCAGGTCGTGATGCTGGGACCTGGGGACCGGCCTGCAGAACCCCTGGATCAGCACGTGGGTCAGTTTGAGGGTCAGCTGGCCGGTCAACGGCTCGAGGGTCAGTTGGCGGGTCAGCTCACGCCTGCGCAGTGGGGCGCACCGCTGGAAAACGTGGTCTTCGCGATGGGGTACTACGAGCGGGACCCGGTGGTGGCCAGGCGGCGGGCGGTCAGGAGGCGTGCGCAGACGTAGGGGTGACGTCACGGCGAGGCATGCTGGCGCAAGGATGCTGTCACATCCAAGGGCGAAAGGATCCAGGAGTGCTTTGACAATGTGGCTGGGAAGCGCCGAGAAAGTGCCCGGAAAGTGCCAGGGGTCGTGCGCCAGAGCCTTTGCGTTGCTTACTGCCATCGAGGGCCTTGCATTTTACCCGGACAGTTGGGCCTTGGGGCCCAGGGAGAGGGCATGAGTTCGGGCATCGGCTGCGACGAAACGACGGGAGAGCGGGATTGAATTTTGTGTCTTCCAAGAATTTTCTTTTGAGCATAGCCGCAGCAGTGGATGGAAGCCAATAGATAGGACTCGCCAAGGGCCGTAGCTTTAGATGTGTGGATTCGGACCAAAAAAACGACTAGCATTGCTGGCGTGTGCCATCGCGTGCAGCTTTTCTTCGCTCACGCAAGGGGGTGGTGATTGGGTGGGTGGGGTGGGGGTGTAATGGCCGAGCTAGTTTCTCAAGCTCGATTTTCAAATTTCGGATTTCAACCTTCCGGTGTGATGGACCGATGCTCCGGTGGGCGCGCTTGAGGTCCACCCTCTCATGATCGGCAGCGGCCTAGAAGAAAAGGAAAAATCAAGTTAAAAAATGTATTGGCATGCAGGGGCGTGCTTTTGTTCTGCAACACTCGGAAGTGATAGAAAGGGAAAACGATTATCCGATCAGTGCCATCAATTTTTTGGCGGGTCAGCCGCGGACGTCCCCCCTGCCAGCTTCTGGACGATTCGAATAAGTGGCGAGCTGGCTGTGGGCACAGGGTGGGCGGGTTTTCGACCGGGATACGCAGGATGGACTGAGGCGGTGGTGGTGGCATGATGCAAGCACGCTGACGTCACAGCGTCTGTACTGCCGCAGAACTGAGGCAGCACACTGGCGCTGCGGCGGTGCGCTGCTGGCACTGGCGGTACAATTGCGGCGATGTAGCCGTACGGCTGTGGACTCGCGGATGCTCGTCTGCCGCTTTCGTTTCCCAAAGTACTGGCAATATGTTGCGCAACGCGCGACGTTTGAGACTCCAAGTCTCGTTTGAGACTTGGAATGTGCGCAGGGTTTGGCCACCTCACGAGAGAGTTCAAGGCGGCAATTAGCCGCCTCGGAACACTCTTCCGATAAAGAGTCGCAAAATACTCAGCATGGGTACTACCTGGCTGTACCACATTTTCCTGAAGCAAAGTGCTGGCCATTAACAAAAGCCCACCACTTGATCCTGTGCAAAGGGACGAAAGGATGAGCAAGGCATCATCAACGTCATGCCTACAGATCGAACCGTGCCAAACAGCAACCGTCCAACTGCGGGCGCTGGTCCCAACCCGCCGCAACGCCACCTGTTCTAAAGTCAGCATCCGCCGCTGCGCCATCTTCCATTTCCTACATCACCTGCACCTGTTCTAACCAGCCAGACTCATCTGAATTGGGATCTGAGAGTGGCACCTTTTTCGAATTCGCTCCAAGCGAGCATTGTGTGCACCCCGCTTCAGTAAACATGTACCGTGATCGGCGTCAAGTGAGCAAAGCACATAGTTGGCCTGAATTCGCGGCTGCTGGAGCCCGCCCCAGACATGCTGGATTCCCTGAGGCGCACTGCGCACGACCAGATCCTGTGCTATGCTTCAAATACACACAAAAGCAGAAGATTTCCTATATATCGGGTTGTGGCAAAGACGTGCATGTCACCATCCACGCCATGCACGACCCAGCGGGATATACACCGATAGCTAAACAGAAAACAGAAAAAAGGGGAAAAGTGCCTTCGAGGTACCCCTAAAGACAGCCCGCCAAGTGGAAGGTTGAATAATGGGATGTCCACGTTCAACGTGGATTCCAATTTGGCATCCTCCATTGGCGCCGCCCAATTCGGCAGCAATGCAGACACATCCATATACCGCACAATAAGTGCCCCGTCGCCGGAGAGCATGGTCAGCAGCGCGGACGGCACGCCAACAGCCCTACCCCTCCCAGCGCCCCTGGCCCTACACCGTCAGCCATCTCAGAGCATCTCCCCAAACCGACGCCCACAACGACAGGGCCGAAACCACGGCACACGAACCAACCACCAAATAGCTGTCCCCAAATCACTGAACACGCAAACGTTCAAGAGTTCAAAACAACACGCAGAATACATTCAAACAGCAAACATTCTGAAAGAGCACACTAAAACATGCCCCAAAGACATGAACTGTGACCCCAAAGGACGACCCCCTACCCCAAAAGATCTGCCTGCAACAAACTATTCACCCAAAACGAGCTGTGCCCAAAACACTGCCAAAAGAAGCACTCTCAGTGTCACCCACCACTACTACCAGTGCACACAGTACTACCAGCAGTACTACCAGTACTCTCAGCACCGCCAGGGGTACTGCCAGTAGTCCCACTGCTACCAGGAGCACTACCAGCAGTCTCAGTACCCTGCCAGTGCTATCAGCACTACCAGCGGTTGGAGTGGGACGCCCAAGTCTTGATCCTCCCCAGCACGCCCCGCCCCCCCGAGCCCTTCCCCCTCTCCTCTGCCGCCAAATAAGTCTTCCACCCCGGCGCCGCCGGCACCTCCCCCCTCCCAACCCGCTCCTCCCACTCCTCATCCGTCAGCCTCGTCATTCCCAGCAACTCAAACTCGTGGTGCCTGAACACCGGCCCAAAATACACAGCCAGATCTGGCCCCGCATCGACCACGACGGTCATCAGGGCCGGGGGGCCCACCCCCTGGTGCAGCACGAACCCCGATGGGTTCAATGCATCTGGAGGCATGGAATGCACATCTGCAACTATCAAATCCTTCGCGCAGGAATCTTCACGCGACTTGTAGAAAAGGTCACAGTACCAGCCGTCGTAGCACGGCCCCCCGCTGCCCAGGTGCTCAATGCGCACGATCTTTTTCAAAAAGCTGACCTCAGATTCTGCCAGGGGCCGCTGCTGCCTCTCCTTCTCCGCAATGCCGGACAGCATGCCAAGCACCTCCTCCCACCTCTCCAGGATGCTGACCTGCCTCCTCAGCAGTCTGAACGAAGGCGAGCTGCTGAAGCAGTTGACGGGGTCTCCGTTGTCCAGCGCCTGGAGCATCCCCCCTTTGCCAGATTTTGCCAAACCCCTTGCCCTCTCGACTGCCTGCTCCTCCCCCCCCTGCGCCACCTTTGCCCCCTCCACCAAAATCTCCTTGGCCTTCCCCACCATGTCCAGAAACGCATCCCAAAACTCACCGCGGGGGTCCACATACCCTGCAGGGTATTCGCAGCGAATTTTCATCCCATAGGACTGCTTTGCATAAAGTACAGTGTCGTGGCGCAGCTGGGTCCAGCTGCCTGCCTGTGTCTCCGTGCACTTTGCAGCCCAGGCCGATGTACGCATGGCTTGGGGAAATTCGTCCCCTGTGGTCGGCATGGACAGCGTCCGCAGCAGCCTCAGCCACAGGGTGTACAGGTTCTTTCTCCACGCTGACTGGGGCAGCTGGTCGAAGATGGACCTGATCGCCGCCAGCTGGGAGTGGTAGGGCAGGTCTTTGTCCCTCACCTTGACATTCAGCAAACACTGCCTGAGTCGATTGCCAGCACTTGCCAGAAGCCGAAGACGTACTGGCAAAATGAAATTCACAGAGCCCATGGAATATATGCTTCTCAGTGCATTGCCTATTCTACAGGTTGTGGGAAAGCTCTACATGAACTGCATACTTGTCACAGCATAACAGGCAAGCTACTTCACCATGGTGACGCCGCTGGGCAGCGTGCCCTTGCAGCAAAGGGCTGAATCTCCGTGTTTCAAGTTTGTCACAGATGCAAACATGGAATTCACAGAACTTCGGAAAACTGCAGTCCTCATTGCGTTGCCTATTTGATGGATTTTTGGTGGACATGTCCAATTCCATTGCCTGCATACCTGTCCCAGCATGATGAGGCAAGCCCCTTCGCCAAGGTGGCACCGCCAGGCAGGGCATACTCATGCAGAAGGGCTACATCGCTTTGCTCAATCTGCCTTCGAAAGATAGAGCAGGGCCCATGCACCTTGCACGCATGCCAAGGATAAAGTGGTACAACACAGTACTGCAAAGCACTGATCCTTATACCATTCTTCCCCATAAGTAGCGCCGAGTACAATGTGCACTCTGATAGAGGGCGTCACAGACTCTCTCACCTTCGCACAGATTTCTGAGGCCACAGAGCTGTTGCCCAGCACCGAGAAGAAGACGTCGAGGCAGCTTGGGTGCTGGTGCGGCACCTTTTTGCCGTTGAACAGGACCCTGTCGAAGACACTGTTGGAGATCGCCCAGCTGTCCATCACGAATTTCTGGCCCGTGAACGTGAAGACTGAGGGGAGGGTGATGGGCACAGGATCGTTCAGGTCGCTGAACCACACTGAGCTGCAGATCGCCTGGGTCCCCAGGTCCGAGTTCTTGATCAGCACCAGGAGCTCATCCAGGCAGCGCGTGCTCTTGAACTCTGCCATGTTCTTCAGACCGACCTGTGGTGCAACAATGCCCATTGTCACCCTTTGGCCAATCATTTCTGGAGCTCTGCGATGCTGCTTAGCAAGATTACTAAACCATGTGCACATTCCTGGGACAAACAATGGACATACTGGTCTTGTATGGTTGGGTGGCAACATTGCCCCCGGTGGCTGACATGCAATGAATGGAATTTCTTCATCATCATATGCACATTTCACACACATAACATACATGCACGTATCTTGTACCAGGCTCCGTTGAATTGTTTTGAATTTGGAATGAAAGAAGACAGACATGTTCTTGCCTGGGAGGGGGCCGTCAATTGCACCGCATGCTCTCCCTTCACTTGAAGGACAACATTAACCATCAAGTAACATATAGAAGGGCAGCAAGATTCCTCATGTTCTGAAGAAAGCAAGCATTGGAGTTTTGCACACACTCAAGAGCCACATCGGCTGCCGACAAGTGACAGAGCAGTTTGTTCTCAACAAATGCGATCAACAGTGACAGCCCAAGAAGGGGGAGGCACACATCGATGTGGCTTATATACTTTCACATATACCTTCCACTCAAAAGGCAACCACCAGCTGTCAAGGACAGCATGGGTCACAATGCATGGCATGCATGCTGAGGCATGTCGCCCCTCGCACTGATTTGTGTGTTGAGTGCTCCACAAGGCTATAATACCAGCTCTGAGCACACAGCCAGATTGCTGCCCCCCCCCCCTTCCAACCACCTGCAATGGCCCAAAAAGGTCCCAGGGTACCAACACCGCCCCGATTCCAGCAGAAAATGGGACCCCATTCCCTACCAGAAACTGGGTTTTCATTTTCCAACAGAAATTGGCATCTCATTTTTTGGCAGAAAATGCGAACCCGTCCCTCGCCAGAAAATTAGACCCCACTTTTCCAGCAATAAATGGGACCCAATTTTTTGCACCAGGAAATTCCACCAATGCATTTGACAGCAGATTACTCCGCCCACCTGAGCGCAGTACTGCCCAAGCACGGCCTCCAGCTGCCGGAATCCCATCGAGTCCGCCTCCCCCACAAACCCCGCCAGCGTATCCTCGAACGCCTCCCAATCCCCAAATCCCCCACACGCCCTCAGCACATACAACAGCCCCAGGGCCGCTGCCAGGCCGTCGGTGTCCGTCCCCTCCTCCCCTCCCCCCACCACCACCTCCACGCGGCCGCACCACATCACAGTCCTGAAGTACCGCCTCAGGGCGCCGCTCCTCAAGTAGTGCCCCCTGGGCTTGAATTGGGAGAAGTCGAACAGGTCGGGGCCACCCCACAGCCCCCATCGTGCCAATTCTTCCTCCTTGATCGCCGCCAATGCAGCCTGAACTCGATCATCATTCCCAAGACAGCTGGCCTGCTGCCCGCCAAAGTCCTCAACCTCCCCCTCCCTCTCCCTTTCAAACCCCACAGCCATGCTGGGTCCCCGCCATCGCCCCTGCCCCTCGCCCAGCTCCACCCTCTTGCCCTTCAGCAGCGAGATCGCCACCGTCAGAAAAAAGTCCGCGTCCTTGATCCCCTCTTCGATCGCCGTGCCCCTCAGGTCCTCACCCGCCGCCGGCACCGCCCCCCGCATCCCCTCCAGGACCCCCATCAGCCTCGGAGCCAAAACATCAACCTCGACATCCACCAGCATTTCATCGTAGGTCCTGTGCCAGGCGTGCAGCATCGCGTCCGCGCCCACCCACACCGGCAGATCGTCACTGTAGATCCAGTGAAAAGCGTCACCAAAACTCGCAAAAGGCGCCTCAGTGACAACAAATCCGTGCCGCGTCAATTTTTCCATTGCCCCAGCGGGAAGCCGCGTCAGCAGGCTGCCGTCGTGCCTCTTCCTCCGCTTTGCTTGTTCCGCGCTCGATTGCACAGATCGCCTGGAATTGCCCTCCTCGATCAGGCCCCAGTACTTTGCTCTTCGCGGGTCGAAGGACACCCCATCCAGGAAGGGGGGGCCAGAGCCGCGCGGCGGGTACTTGGCCGCGAACGCGTCGATTGACAGATCGCCCTGAGATTGGAGTTGGCGATCGAGGGCGCTCTGGAAGCCCAGGGGGTCGCCGTCGCCGCGCGGCGCCGCCATTTGGCCTTGGCGGGTCTATCTGGCGGCCTGGGAGGCCGTTGGCCAGGGTTGAGGGGAAGGAGGGAAAACGATATTGCTGCCTGCAACAAATCGGTGAGTGGTTGCACCAAGTCACGTGCACATTAGGTCCTCACCTCAGTTTCAGGGTTAGGTTTAGGTTTTGGGTGGGTTTCAGGGTTAAGTTTAAGGTAGGGTTCGGGTTAGTTTTTTAGGTTTTAGGGGTTAGGTTAGGCTAGTTTTGGAGGGATTGGTGCAAGCAATCACCGATTTGGTGCAGAAAGTCATCGATTCGCAAAAGCGCGCGTCTACATTACCGATGCGTGATGCTTGCGTGGTGCTCCTGTAAAGGATTGCGTGATGCGGTTGTTGACGCGCGTGATTGTGGGTGGTGTGATGGACGATTTGGAACAACTGGGTGGTTTTAGAGAAAGGACGCCAGGCAGCTTGGCACGGTTGCCGGGCGTTGCAACCAATTGGTTGAGCGACATTCCGTGTACGCTGTTCGCAGAGAGGACTTGAATCGCACCTTCCTTCTCCGAGTTGCGCGTGATCACTGGTTGAAGCTGCGATCACGGACTTCGGTGTGGGCACCAATTTTTGGGGAACGTGCAAATTTTTGGCGCATGGGACGCGACTACCAAACCGGAAACCGGGCAGTGTTTTGAATGGGCTCCTAGTAACGTACAAAGTAGAGGACAGCATATAAAATATAAAATGTTAGAAAATATGGAGAGGGGCCCTTCGAAACAGAGAACCAGCAGGAACATACGAAAACCGACGCTGTTGTTGAGGTGTACTTGTCGGATTTTGCCCATGGCTGCTGAAATTCAAATGAGTCACAAACCGAGTTATGGACATGTACATATAACAGACATACTCTTTAATCCCGTGTCGTACAACTCACCGCGAATAATACGCCTTTCCTGGAAAAGCACTTTTCCTGGTGAGCACGAAAAAAGAAAGCACATTTTTGTTGTCTTCTTTGTTTTTATGAACAGATATTTATTGTTGGCACCGCCCTGTACCGCACTGCCTGTTGTCTCTGTCGGCCTGCATGCCATGAAGCTCTTCTTCTCTTCATAGCCTATGCTGAGCCTCAACTGCCCCAAATCCGTTGTCTATCAATCCCCAAAAAAAAAAAAAAGTAGAGATTATTTCCAAAAAGCGGGACTATTCAGCCACCAGTCAACCTGGAAGGGACGCAATCGTTGAAAGAAAAGCATTTGGAAACAAAAAATCACAACTGTTTGTAGAAAACTTGTGCCTGTATGCAGGCTTTGGCAAGGACGCCACCGCACTGTATTGGTAAGACACACATTTGCGCTGCCCCTAGCACTGCGAAATTAGCACCAAGAACACAATCAAAATCACGCATCCTGGTACCATTTCAACACGCCTTAAACTTAGAATACAATATTCGGTTCCACTTTAACAGAATTTAAACTGTGAAAAATGAGCAATTCCTGGCCAGTGTACTTGAAAGGCGCAAACTAAAAGCCCAAAGCCGCTGCCCCCCTTCACCCCTCCCGCGCCCTCACAAGGGTACAGATCAGCGCAGTTTCGTCACCCGAGTAGGTTCTGCCCTACCGGCTCAATTACACACATCAGGCGGCCCTTGCAACCACGATTCATCGCCCTATCCAGACAACGCCCACGGTTCTCAATGGTCCATATTCTGGGCCCCATAAATAAGCCTCAGACGTCGCAAGTATGTCGTTCTTCTTTCTCCTTTCTTTTTTCTTACCTTTAGAAACATCGGAGCTTCGTCGTCGGAAACTTCAGCGGCGCTCGCATCGTCAGGCGACCGCCCTGAGGCCTGCAGAGCTTGGCGTAGCCCAGTACGGTAGTGCCGTGCTCGAAGGAGGGGCCCACCATGCCACTGTCCGTCTCGTTGACGTGGAATGAGCCGGAGACGGGCGTAGACCCACAATTGGCGCAGCACCAGCCGCGGCAGAACTCGGCTTCGGAAGCCGAATGGAAAGAAGTGATATAGCTGTGGAAGGTGCCGTTGTCGTTGGCGAAGCTGCTGCCGTACACGTTGTCCACCAGGTTCTCGAAGGTGACGCGAACGGTGACGTCGGGAGGGCCCGCTGGGATCGCTTCCTGACGTCAGCGCGCGGCTTTAGGCGGCGGCTCAGTGATATGGGATTTTCATAATCGAAAGCTAATATCCAAGCAACCTATTCTTAACAATAATTGACAGAAAAAAATATTGAAATGATACTATTTGGGGACTGTATTTCTGCGCATGTAGTTTGGCTCCTAAGCAAGTGCGGAAAACATGGATTGTGATATCTCATGGGGGGCGCACGGCGCCAGAAAACTTCGCATGGCCAAGAGGAAGAAACGTGTTCTAGGTATCCTCCTCACAAACTTGATTTCCACACCCTTCCAGATCTTACGTGGTGAATCCCAGCAGATAAATGTCTAAATTATCGCAATTACTGTGAACTACGTGAACTTGGGGTAGGGGCAGTGTAGGACCTGGTGGCGTCTTGAGCACAGTTTGGCTTGCAAATAAGACCCATACGCACAGTATTCCCAGATAGTTGCTGAGCATACATACAAACAAGCACTTGCACATCTTATCATATATGCTAAAATGCAGCGCAATAGCGCACCTGTGCGATAGCCATATATGTCCACAAGTCACCTGTGAGGTCAAACGACGGTTCGGGCTCGAGTCGCGCGCATCTCGTGCTTCGGATGAAAATCAGCACGAAAAGGACCCTGCGCGGCGCTGCACGCCGTCAGCGGATGCAAAGCCTGCGAAACGCTCCCCGCTGCATCAAATGCGCAGTGCCATGCCAGTGCACGGGTCTTTCGACTCCAGAGCGTTGCACCACATTGCATCTGGAGAAAGGCCTATTTTCATTGAGTCGATATGTACTCCAGTGTAGACGTTGCTGCCATTGGCGCGTCTGCAGTGCAATGGATGCAACTCCGAACAATGCGACAGCAAGGCCAGCGAACCAGCATTAAAGCTACGCTGGCACACCCAACAACGCTTGTACACATTAGCGCATGCGTACATGCTGAAGTGTTCTCGGGCATTGCGGCAATGGCAATGCAGCCACAGCGTCTATCAAAGTCCATCAACGTCTATATTCTCCTACTGAGAAGGAGAGGCGACTATCCTAAGGCCGCAAGCGAGCACTGAACGTTGCGCGTCGACTGGCTTCGAATCAAGTGGTGCCCTGGGCATGGTCGGCATTAATGCCCCATCCGTAGATGTATCCGCAGACACACGACCTGCGATTTATCGAACGAACTTCGCAAGGCTGACGCGACCCCTTCTCCCCCGATTGCGCGAGAACAGCGAAGGCGGTTGAGCTCACCGCGGCTGCCCGGGTTGGATCCAACCAAGGTCAGCCGCGATATGCAGTGTGGCAATCATTCATGAACGCGTGAACACGCAATCCTTCCCACGCCAATTTGAAGGGCAGCCGAATGCCCGCAACTCTAGCAAAACGCGAGCGACCCCTTTGTGGGGCCTTCGATCTTGCGTGCGTCGCAACTTTGGCCAAAGTTCAAACGCGCCACCTCCTCCCACTCGCCAGGACCCTCGGCTTGCGCAAAGGCGTTAAAGGCCGGCGGGCTGTGGGAGAAGCACTTTGGCCGACCCTGGAAGAGGCCAAAGTACTGGGCGGTCGTCGGCAGTACATCCGCGCAAGGCGTCACGGCAACCAGCCACGCGGCGTCGACCGCAGTGGATCGCCCGACGCCGCGGGGCGCGGTCAAGCGACATAGGGGCGTTCCGAAAGCTCGAGCCGGACTCCCGGAGCTGTTCGCGAGCACACCCGGTCTGGGTAAGATTTGTTGGACGCCAACAGAAAAAAACAGGTCATACGGAGGGCGTCACCTCCCAGGCAAGCGCATGCGGGAAAAGATGATGTGGAGTCGCCCAGCGCGAGGCAATGAACACACGCCGGCACCCGGGATTGCTGGGGTGCCCAGTTTCGAATAACGCGCCTTTGTCGGGGGTGCTATTGTCCCGGCGGTGTGATTCGGCTGTCCGAGTAGCACAGCGCGTCAGAAAACCACCATTGGCGGTTTTGGAGCAACAGCACACCAATAGCACCGCCGATGCTGCTCAGCGCCGAGTGGTGCTATTTGGCCCCGAATAGCGCCGCTCGAGGCCAGTAGCGTCCCAGAATAGCACCCGGTGCTATCCGCACCGGGGTGCCCTGATGCATACAACGTAGGAATAGCACCCACGATTGCGGATGACCGCAGGCGAGCAATAGCACCGGTGCTTATCATTAAAATTGTGACTAAAACATTCTGGAACTACAGGGCCAATGCGCAGACTGAACAAAATCAGTAGGAATTCAAGCGAAAGGACTGCGAAACAAGTATATTGTCATGGGTCCACGGCTCGAAATTGCATCCCCACTGCATGAACATCGGGACTCAACACGCCGTAGACATACTGCCGACAGATTGCTTTTAAGTCGAGAATCAATTGACGCTGCCCGTTTCTTGAAAGCAATAATAATAACATATCCCTTGAGTAAAACCATTCCAGGATGCCGTGTTCTGCGTGCGAGATGCTCGTTGTATCTTGGAGGGTGGATCTGGATTGACGGGATGTCTGTAGATGCTTCCACACCGGACTGGTAGGGATTGGCGACCTGGCGGCTGCCTGCACAGGTGCAAGCGGGGCAACCATGTTCCTGAACACATTGGGTTTCTGGCGAAGGATGTGTTAGGTACCTGGATCGATCGCTTGGGATGTTTACTGATGAAACTTCGCTTCACATGGACAAGGAGTTGAAGGTCCTTCCCATGACCACACCACCACCACCACAACCGCAGTGCACGTGGACCTAGTCGGCAAATGTGCTGTACTGAAAGTTTGACAAGACATTGCTATAATGTTTGGAGAGATGCAGTTAAAACATGTCGCCATCCTTGCACACAAAAATTACTGAGCGACTGAAAACTTTTCTGCAGCACCAATGTGCTATTCGTCCATGCCATATTTGCCACTCCAGTGT